TCTGGACTATCAAAATTTTGACGTCGGAACATTGATGCGATGTGATCAGGGACCCCAGCTACCTACATATTAGGCTGTAACACTTGTCTACGAAGATGCCCAAAACAAAGCTATGTATGTGGACCACCCTCAATATATTGTTCTTAGCCTGTTTATCCCCAGAAGACTTGTTCCATAAGAAAGTCAAGTAGTACTGGCTATTCAACTAGAATGACATTCAGATTGCAAAGGAGATTGAGCTGGATATGGTCAAGGAACTTCAGCTTGATTGTGAAAAGTATAGTGTGAGGTGAGTAAGAGATATGAACTTGAAGAATACCTGAGACTAAGTCTTTAACAGCTATAAAAGTGTCTCTCGTGCATGCAATAAACTACAACTACTAAATGTCCAGCAACAAGAGGCAACTGGGCTTGGGGATGAATTTAAAGCACTTGTCCAAAGCATTCATGTATCTTACCCTCATATGGGTGCTTGCCCACTTGTTAAGTGCCGTGCAAGGAAAAGGAAGTAACGGAAGGTCCAAAGCAAACCGAGTGGCTATCACAACACTATATCGGAGTGATCGGAGTGAGCGACTACACGTCTCGCAGGCCGAAAGCAAGTCTGAACAAATACAAGATCTTCTGCGGATACGTTTGGATAAGCCGAAGGCGAGAAGGCTTTAGAACGCGGGGAGGAGTCAGACGAGAGTGTAAGGGCAACCTGGAGGCCTGAGATCAAGGCCTAGCAGGGGAGGATCCAAAGCGTGAACATTGGTAAGCAAATACAAATGAAGCTGACCTAGCAGGGGAGGATCCAAAGAGAAGAAACTCTAAGGGTTCGCCTGCTAGGGAGCTGACTGTCAGACTGCGGGTCGGCACCCGTAGCTGTAAGATTTAGCCTTCAGCCCTAGGTACAGGTAGGAAAATGGTTGCCGGGGAGGGTAGCTGTACCTAGGCCTATCTGCACCTAGCTCTCCAAGCCCTTTTCTATCGAATAGGCAGATAACTAAATAGCATCAATGATATGATAAATGGGTATAGGATACATATAATTTGATAATAATATATATATAATACTTTTAACTCCTTTTCTTCAGGCCGATGACCCGGATTATAGCTAGGATGGCCTGAATCAATAACAATCCTAATTAGGACAAAATTGATGTACTATGATATAGCCATCAAAAGTACTGATGGCCATCAAAAATGGTTCCACATTAAAAACATTACTCAGATAGGGGCATTGTCACAACCCATAGGATACTAGATAAAGAATAATAATGTATTCTTTTAAACAAGAATTTCACATATGTCACATATGTCACATATGTCACACATATGTCACACGTTATAAATCGTCACATTTGGCTCTAATAGAGGTATGTAAAAGGCTACCTAGGTACAGCTACCCTCCTAGGCAAGCGTTTTCCTAGCTACACCTACTGGTTTTAGGCTATATATTACCACTACGGCTCCGGTCGGGCCGTGCAAGGACCTCTCCTAAGAACGTGCGCCCGGAACAGAACAGATGGATAGTCGGGCCCGCAAGTATGGCAGGCGGGGTAGATCAAAACCGAAAGGGCCCGTGAACTCGGTCCCTTGCCGCTGTCGGTGGTTGAAGGTTCGAATCGGGTCGTGTCGGGCCCGATGAGTAGACAATGCCTCCTTGCACGGAGTAAGGTGGTTCTTTAGACGATCTAAGGGATAGAGTACAGGGTACACTATCGCGCCTTATATATACGCAGGCCCGCAAAGGGGGTGATCGGACACCCTGGCCTCTCCTCCTCCTCCTCCTCCGTTCCTGGCCGCAGAGGGGACGATCGTACATCCCTTGCGGGCCAGGCGCTACTCCTAACCTCCTAGCACTCCTCCCCAGTCCCCTTGTGTCGAGTTGGGCTCGGCGACGGCTCGACGCGTCGTTCTCGGTCACATGCTTCCCACGTGTGCGTTCCTCCTACTGGGGCGCATGTTCCCCGTCGTCACGTGCTGCGTGCTACGGGCCCGCGATGGCCCAACACCAGCATCAGAGCGGACGGGCCGGGTCTTATCCGTGACACTGACTATATACTGCTTGTCCGTAGCTGCCACTGTTGGGCACAGAAGGCTTGGGCGGCGTCACAGGCAAGGTCCCAGGGCGACTAGGTTGGGAGGGCGTTGACGGATCGGTGATTGTGCGGGCGAGATGGAGGGCCGGACCGGAGTTGGAACCTGTGAGAGGGTGGGACACACTTTATGCGTACAACTCAGGTTACTTGTGCAATTCCCTGTATTTAGTGTAGTGTGACCTTGATGGTCACATATATCATCTTTTGCTTCAGACAGTCACTATGGCCTGAAGAGGAAGTATCCGTGAACCACGTATCGGTTGGACCCCCTGCATGCCTGAGCATGCATTAACTGCTCCGCGCTGACCTCCGCGGCACTACGAAACTTCGTGGTGCGCTATGGCAAACCTGGACGCTCTACACAGGGTGTCCTTCTCTCTCCTCATCCTGGCCCATTTGACATGGACTCAACTTCTACCCAGGCCTGTGGCCTTCTATCTTCATTCCCTTCCCTCCACCCTAGCCCCGAACTTGGACGTGCAGCGTCACAGAACCGGAATCGGACCGGAATCGGAGGCATCTCCGAGCGAAAGGGAGGTTCCCCTGACACTGCTCCAAATCCCTTCCCTATACTCACCCTCTCCTGCTCTATCATCCTCTCCACCGGACATCTCTCCAATCCTCTCATTTATACCCTCCTCATATGCCCATACCCTCTTCCTTCCACTCCCTGTGCAGTAGACAGTCACAGCGATTGGGCCATTCGAGCAGTCCCACTTAAATCTCCAGCCCCATCCGCAGACATCGGTCGTCCCAGTGAGCGAGGAGTCCTTGTCGAAGCTGACACGGAAGGAGGATTCGACGCCCTTCGCCGTCCAGGTATCGGGGGAGTCTCTGACGAGCGACATCGATGAGGGCAGGAGAGAAGCGGCGTATGGGAGTGGCCACCGCGTGTATGCAGCATGGCTGCCTGTGTATGCAGCGTGTTTGGTCGTTTTGCCCGGCCCGAAAGTGGGAGGGAAGAGAGGAATCTTGTGTGACGTCACAGCCACTCTTCTTCGTCTTAACCGCCATGTCGCGTCTCGCCATCCTCTCCCATTCCATCTCTCTCAACTCGGACGCAACGAACGCGAACGTCTGAGGCGACCCATGAGAAGAAATCCAGCGCTTATGCATATGGTGCGCGCTAATACTTTCACTCACAAAGCCCCTGCTGATTCCCGGACCAGCCCTCTTGACTCGATTCTCCGCAAGCTCGCGCACCATACCGGTCTACTAGAGGGAAGGAAAACACCGTGGTTGACGGGGAAATGCTCTTCTGCTGGGCATAGGTGCGTGCTTCAAATCCCACTCTTCTCCCCTCTCTCATCGTCACTTATGCTGACTCTCCAGATATCCCCACTCACTTACTCACGCCCGGCGCCGCATATCCGCTCCAAACACATGCCCCCCTACCCCGAAAGCCATCTTCTCTACTCCACGCTTCTTCTTCAAGTTTGGCGGGCGAGGTCAGCCTCTCCAGCAAGAAGCCGTCCCCGAGCTCTTCTGCATCCATTCGCGACGGGCGCTGCTGGTGCAAACGAGTCAGAGGGAGATCTCGAGTGCGTATCTCGAGCTGCCGCCCATATCTTGCGTCTTACTCCGTCTTTTAGCTCCCTTTTTGCCCCATTCCTCTTACTCCCTGCTCGCGCTTCAAGTGGACTCCCATCCGTCCCAGTATCGATTCTACCGTAGTAGAAGGAGCGAAAGCTGCTGTCAGGTCCGTTTCTAGCCTTCTGCTAGCGAAAATCGAGTAACGAGAATATGCAGCCGCCGTCTCACAGTCTTTGGCGTTCACAGACGATACACGAGGAATCGCGGAGGCGGAGGAACGGAAGAATTGAGCTGGATGTTGAAGAAGCCGACCTCAAACAGCTGTGGTCATCAGGTTTAATCGTGCGTGTCTTTTCATCGTGTCGCTAGTCAGCCGCTAAGACTATCGTTTGTAGTTTTACACCTGCGGCAAGGCCACAGACACAGGCTACACCCACTTCCCTCCCTTCCTCTCTCGACTCCTTCCTCTTTCGGCAGCCAAAAGCAATACACATACTTATGCCTTCTCCATCGCTTTCCAGACACCCTCTCCATACACACTCCCTCTGTCATCCGCGATTTCCCCGCCCACCAACCTCCTCCGCGCCTCCCTCGGTGCTGATAACGCGTATCGTAGTTATATGGAGGAGAAGCCGCTCTAGCACTTGCCGACGACGATGGATAAACGCGAAATATGTGTACCTCTCCCTTGGCTCGGAAGACATGTTTGCGGCGGGCAAGATTAGCAAAGACATCATCGTCGACTTGACTGTCCCTTCCTCTCGAGCGGCGGACGCGGGGAGGAGTTGTCGCGGGAGGAGGCAGCGTCTTCCGAGGAAATTTGGAGCCGCTGGCGCTACTGCAACTCATGGGAGTCAAGTCAGCCGCTTCCTTTGCTGCTTTTACTGCCTTTTGTTATTCATGTCGTTCACTCCTACATTCTTGCTTTTACTTTTGTATACGATTACACTACTCTACGTTCGCGGATGTAGAATTCTGGGCTCGGTAGCACAATCCAGCGGCTGGACTGTCTCTAACGACAACGCTCCCCGAGAAATTACAAGCGACCACTTAGATCTTTTGAATAAACTTGTGCTGATATAACACTGGCAGTCTCTTCGCGTAAAATGATTTCATCCAGTTCGCCTTAAGAGAGAGAGTCTCTGGACTCGGAGGGTCCGTGCAGATGGTTCTTCCGAGACGTGAAGTCAATATTTGGCCATCTTGCCCCGGTTAGCGACTTTGTTTGATACTTATTCATAATGCATGCTCGTAGTACGCGACCTCTTTTTCGTGTTGGGCACGGGGAATGAGTATCAGGAACCAATATTTGTCAGAGTGCTACGAGTATTCCTACTATTCTAGAGTATTTAGGTACTGATAGCTATGGCTCGCATTCAATTAACAATCCTCTTTCGCCTCGCTCTTGTCTCCAATCTGCTCCACAATATCTGCAACCGCTTCCCAGCGGAGCTTGAACAGCTGTTGAGCAGCAAGCTGGGCATCCGTGTCCTCGCCATCAAGCTCGTCAACTTCGCCGAACCACGCATAGCCAATATGTTGCAACTCCGGGAACAGCGAGCGGAGGAATCCGGCCATCAGCGTCGGGTCCCCGACATGTGTGTGCCCGACATACAGTTCCGTCAGCATACTGGCGGATGAAATGCCCACCGCCGGCAACGGCCCGGTGCCGCCGTCCATAGCCAGTACCAGGCGCTGCAACGTCGTGTGTCGCGCCGCGATTACCAGCGCGCCAATGGTTAGCTGTGCGGCAGTCTTTGGATGGTTTAAGCACAGCCGCTCGAGCTGCGGGAGCTGCCCAAGGAGCCCGGCGAGCCCGTCATCGTCCAAATCGAATCCGCCAGGAGCCTCCAGCGCAACATGGGTCAGGCCGTTAAAGCGCGCGAGGTGTTCCAGCGCCGATGCACTGACTCGCCACTGGTCGCCTTCCCATCGCCCTTCTCTCTCCCACAACAGATTGATAATTGTAAATTTGCGCAGCGCCTGGACCGGCCCTGGCAGCCCTGCAAGCCCTGAGATGACCGCCGACACGAGTGTGGTGGTCGTCGACAGGTCGGGATCGAGGCAGAAGCTGCTCAGAGGAGAGGCGTGAATCTTCGGCAGGAAACGGATAATGTCATTTAAGTCGGCGTTATACCAGCTGGAGTCATTCAATGCGGGAAAAGACTCGTGTTGGGAACTGTGGCACGGACAAATATCGAAAGTGCCATGCATTATGAGCGACTCAAGGGTTGGAAGCGAAGTGAGGTGGCAAAACGCTTGTTGATCCACGGGCGGCTCGATTTCGAGAGCTTCCAGACGGCGGAGAGAGCGCAAGAAGGCGCTAATTGACACTGCGGGAGATGTTGCAGTCGGCGCAGAAATACTCAACTCGCGAATTGGGAGCTTCCGGGATGCGACAGTAGTGAGGAGGGAGAGTGACATATCGCCTATGCCACCGAGGTGTAAAGTGTGGAGTTGGGGTGCTAACAGGAAACGGAGAAGGTTGGCGATCTCGGGGGAGTCACCATCTGCATGTGCATACTCCGCACTCCACGTGAGCGTTTGCAGGGAAGGGAATATACAGTCCCAGGGTATCCATGTCGAAAACAAGGTCAAAATACGCGTGTCGAGTGTTGTGTCGCCAGGATGATAAAACAATGTCTTGACCAGCCGGAAGTACCGCTCGGGACGGTCTAAGTCTTGGAGGACAAATGGGCGCAGCTGATTCTGTGTACTCATGTCAACACTCAAGCAACTGAGAAAGGTTTACTCGGTACGAGCACTAACCACTCCTCCCCGTGTTCCGTCATTTCTTTCTATGATCTCCACCAAGTCTGGCGGAAAGCACCATAGAAGATGTAACAGCGGTCTGTGGACAAACTTGTCTCCACGCCACAGCTCCTCGAGGGCAAAGTCGGAGAAGCGCCGACATGTGCGTGCCAGACGTGCAAGGGACGGCACGCTTATATCTTCTGGCGAGTTGGCGAGTTGTTGCACGACCTGTAGCGCAATTTCGGGGGTCTCTAGGCAGCGGTGCATCGATGAAGAGAACTGAAGATGAGCGAGTAAAGCAAGCTTGTAAAATGTGACAGTGATCAATCACACGTTTTCGTCTTCCGTCTGTACCACCATCTCGTCCTCGCCGTCTTCTCCGTCCAGCATCTTTCCCCCGTCTTCAGCAACTGTATCCACCAGCAGATAATGGTGCGTCTCTTCCACTCCTCCTACACCCGCTCTGCTGACTTCTCATATAGCTTTCTCCTTGAAGTCACCGACCGACTAGTATCGCAGAGCTTCAGCACCACAGCCGCCGCACCCCCGCACAAGCAATCTCTCTCTGGTCCAAAACGCCCCAACGACGGATACGAAGGATGTACTACTGAGGGAGATGGTCGTTCGCGGAGAGGAAACTTCAAGGATGGAGGATGCATGTGGATGGCAATCTGCAGACACCAGTACGTTGACCGAGCTTTCCTCCCTTTTCCGATTGCTCATTGCGACTTCAGGACTCGATTATACTCCCTCTTCTGAGCGCCCCGCGCACAAAAGCGTGCAGCCTGGCTATGCATCTACGCTCACACTCCTTGCACACTCCTGACGAGCCCACGCTCACACCCATCCGTCCTTCGTGAACAGGGTTTTTGCCGCCTCAGTCACCTTCAATGTCGTTTTCGAGCGCTTCCCGACCCAAACAATGCCCTCCTCCCACCCAAATGGTCCTATCTCACACTCGAAAGTCGTCTCTACCGCCTTTCCCCAAGGTATCGGGCTTACAAGCCCTATCAAGCATATCTTGTCCGCTCGTGTCTTCCTTTCATCCAGGTTCCCCCGCCCTGGTTTGCCTTTTCGTCCCCCCTCTTCCAAAACCAGCCGACTTCGCTATTGACATCGGAGAGCAAAGCCGCCAATAGTGCTGGTGAACGGCGCTCAAGCGTGGTCGGCGGGCGCAGAAGCTGACGTGGTCGTCGTAAACAGAGGAGATGTTGTTGTGGATCGCGCAAAGGAAAGTCAGGGAACTCCAGTATGTAATCGGCTTCTTGCTGCGAGATGCGAGCTGACAACAAATGGGCAGGCGCATTGCAAACGTGTACCTACGTGGCCACTATACCAGTCAACGAATCTATCGCGTCCACCCACCCCCACATTCGCAAGCGTCTACCCTCCATCGTTTTTTGCTGCATCACTCGAGTCACAGTCGCGCACCATGGCCGACAAATCGTGAATACGTCGGTGTAGGGCTCTACCAACCGGACCTACTTTTGCAGGGCAACACATTCCTCACTCCCAATTCCTCTCTGCCCGCATTTGTGCCGTCGACCGGCCCATTCTTCAGCGTTTTCGCTCGAGCGACGCAATTGACGCCGTTTCTTGACTGCTGTCGCGAGCAATTGGTCCCCCGCTTGACAATCTCGAGGCCCTAATGTCGCGAGCTCGAATCTCCATATCGGGCGTGGGGGAAGGAGTAGGCATCGAGCAAACCGCGGAATACACTTCTTTCAAGCACACACATCGATTGTCTCTCCGGATTCGCTACCACCTATATGTCTGTCTGCTTACCTTACCTACTCCTCACGTTCAGATTATCTGCAGACTAAATTCGAAATCTTTTTATCGTTCCGTTGCTTCTTGCTTATATCTACTGTACTTACTCATTTTATCAGTACAGACGACCATTTTGTTGTCTGCGATATACTATAACACCCCAGTCGTTCATAATCCACGCTCGCCTTTCTCCGTGCAAACTTGCAAACGACTTCACAAGTACTTTGACGTGTAGACGTGATGCAGTGCTAGGTCGACGGAGGAAGACGCTTTCGTTGCTGGAGGTACCGTAGTAGAGTAAGAACACATCTGAGGGCAAAACGGTGAGCAAATAGAAAGTCGACAGAAAACACTTGGACGCACCGGAACATCCCACCAAAACTTTCCAGCTCTGCCCTTCCCTCGTAGTAGCACGCAGAGCGCTACAGTCGCGCAAGCGTCCCGTAACTTGAACAGTAGGGGAACGCGACGCGAAACGAGGAGGGCAAAAGTGAACCCCACAACGAGCAACAGAATCACGCTGGAAAAGCGGCGTATGATGGAGCATCATGAGGACATGGATGGGAAGCTTTTACTTGTGGTATAAAAGGTGTGGAAGGGGAGGAGTTCGTGTTGGGGTATCGTCACGATATTCGCCGACAAGCGGCGTTGACAGAGCAAGCAATCACTACAGTAGACGGGGGTCCGACGTCGGAAAGGCTAGAGGACCGTCGTGGCAGGAAGAGAGGACAACGCGGATGGACCTGGTTCTGCGTTTGGTGTGGTATGCAAGAAATAAACATGGAGACTGAGAAACAAGTCCAAGAACGTACCTTCGATACTTCAGACCCTCGAAATGACTTGCTGAAGACCATTAACCCCATCCCAGAGTGTATTATCCCACTGCGCTTGGTCGTCTCGCTCGAACGAGAAGAGTTTCAGCCTTGCATAAGGATACAGACGAGACTTCGCATATGGGCGTGGCCAAACGGCGTGGGCCTGCGCCAATGGGCGTGCACGCCCGTGATGGCGTGGGCGTGGCGTGGGCGGGCGTGGGACCCTCCGCAGAGGCTATGTCCCCTACTATGGCGGCGACCGCGAAGCCTCGACGACCGTTATGCGGCGGTCACTTGTCCGCATCACCGTGGAGGCTTCAATCAAAACACATCAAAATGTGCTGATCGTCGTCAACCACGGTGCCAAGATGTCTTGGCCAAGCTGTCTCAAAATTGAGCAAGTGCTCAACATGAGCTCAAGGGTGCGCAAGGGTGCGTCGGCCCGCCAAGAGTTACTGGCCGCGGCCGCGGTCGATGCTGCACCCGCGCCCGCCCCTGCGCCAGCCTCCAGGCCAGACAGTGGCCGCCGCAGCTTAGTCTCCCGCCCGGGCTATGGCTCGTTCTCTTTCCCGGCGCACCGGCGACACGTTCCCGCTGGTGCTCGTCGTTGTCGTCAGCTGCGCCGTCGGTCTGCGTCGGTCGCGGGTTGGGTCTGGCACGGTCCGGACGGCGTATGGTCGGTGGCCGCCAGCTCGCACGGTTCGCAGATCTCGCCGCCGACTGAAGATAGTGTGGTATGAAGCCTTCCAGCTCCTTTAAAATCCTGTAACAAGTCTTAATACTTGCGCTATATAGAAGCCCACGCCCGTTTGTCCGGTGTGCCAAGCGGGACAAACGGGCGTGCCAAGCCGACCAATGGGCGTGGCACGCCTGATGGACGGGCGTGGGCTTTGATCGTCAGCCAAATCCCACGCCCACGCCCATCCACGCCCGTTGGCGCAGGCCCACGCCCATCGGGCACGCCCAAAAGTGAGCTCTCGGATACAGACGGGCAGATGTCGAGCGGGGAACTTGTGCGGGCTGTACTCGAGAGGCAGGTGTTCGTGGAGGTGCGAAGAGAATGTGGGCCGGTAAACGAAAAACGAAAGATGATGTGCGGAAGAGCCGCCCGAGGGATAACGAAATCAGTGGGAGTGGGACTCGTCCAGTCCGCATCACTCCCACTGATCAGTCCCAGTCCCACTGATCAGGCACTAAGCGAGTCTGATCAGTGGGACTGATGCCTTTGCGCTTGACGTTGTGTTACGACGGAGATCAAGCCAAGCCCTGCGCAGCAGGCCTCCGTGGCGAGCGGCAGCCCGCGGCAGCGTGGGGTCCGGGGCGAAGCCCTGGTCGGGGTCCGGGGTGGAAAACCCCGGCCGTCGCGGCCGGCGCCGCAACCCAGTGCGGAAAGAGAAGTTTAAGCCCGGGGATGTTAGAAAAAGCCAAGAAGGGGAGATAATGCTCCGCGCAGCGGGCCCCGCGGCGAGCGAAGCCCCCGGCAGGGTGGGTCCTGGTCGGGGTCCGGGGTGGAAAACCCCGGCCGCCGCGGCCGGCGCCGCAACCCGCTTGTCCGCGACAGGTCCGCTGATCAGTGGGACTCGTGCATGCGTCACGTCGGACGGCACGAATCCCACTGATGAGACGTGAATCAGTGGGACTGGGCACGAACAGTGGGATTGGGCCAGTCCCAGTCCCACTGATTTCGTATACACTCGAGCCGCCCAGTCGACAACATCGGGTTTTGTCGAGTGACTGTGGCAGGCATATGATTCGTAAGCCGACCCGCCGTCGTGAACAGCCCCAGACCAGTATGTCCTCGTGAGCCTGCGCAGTGTCGCCTGCGACGACAGCGCTCAGGCTCGTCGCGGAGGAGATGGAAGGGGTGGTACTACTTACTCGTAGCGCTATCTAGCGACGAAAGCTGACAAGCAAAATCAGGATATGCATGACGTTGGGCGGATACGGCCACGCACATTTATCACGATACTCTAGCATAGGATACCCACAGCAGGGTGAAGTCCCACCAGGTTACCGCGAAACGGCCAAACACTTGGGAGACTGGACCAAGATGGCACAGCTCTTCCGATGCTCTTGCGCACCTCACCCGCTCTCCCCATATTGCCAACATATTGCCACATATATCACACATCTCACCGTTTTAATCGACCATGTGGACAACGAAGAGATAGCGCTGGCCATGAAAGATACGACTGTGGCATCCGTCTTCCGGTGTTTGTCAGGGCTACAAGAGGCGCGCATACGGGGCTCCACTACAATTGGAGCCAATTTCGATAGTAAACCGAGAATTGACTCCGGTATCATCCAGACTTTCCTCGACATATACACTAGTCATCAACAACGCACTGGCACGCGCAGATTGAAAGCCCTCTCCTTGATCGATGTCGATGGCTTATCTGTTGAGCTTGTGCGTAAAACACTCGTTTCTGCCGACTCTCTCAACTATGTTCGTGCTCGGCTCGAGTTCGATGCCGATTCGGAGTTGGAGCACAAGGATGACAACAACAAGAATAGCAGTCCACTGGCACCTACTTCACTCTCAATATTGTCCAGTTGGAGCGTTCTCGATCTTTTATGTCATTTGGAATTTGCACACCATTTCAACTTCCTCCGTCATCTGACACTACAGCCTGTACAGGACATAGCAGCTCGAGATCACCTCAAGATATGTTTCTTCTCCGC